CCCCAGAAGCCTTACAATGTTTCGGTGCTTGATTTGTCCTAGTGTTTTAATTTCCGCTGAAAATCCATGATCCCTCTGTCCTCCTCTACTTGAGCCAACAAGCTGTTTGATTGCCACTTCAAGGCCGCTTGGCATGGTCCCGCGGTAGACAACCCCAGCACTCCCTTTGCCTATAATGTTCTCAAGCTTTAAGCACTGGAGCAACTCCTCGACGTTGAGATGGAGCTGCTGGAACACTATGAGCCTCCAACCCTTAGATTTTTGGATCTTTCTCATCTTTGTGATTCTATAAACCTTGACAAGTAGGAATAGCAGAAGGATGATAAGTAGGAGAACCAGAAGCGGTCCAATGATGATAAGAGCTAGCTTCAAAGGAGAACCAAACGCATTGTGGTCTCGAGCTCTCTGGTTAATCAAGGACGGGCATGAGACATTGCGACAGAGAGAGGGATTTCCTTCAAACGACACGATGGCCAGAAACTGACTGGATTGTGGGATTGTTCCAGTGAAGTTGTTGTAAGAGAGATCCAAAGTTGTGAGGCTTGTTGTGATGTAGGGGATTTCATCAGGTATTTGTCCCGTGAGTTGGTTTCTAGAGAAATTGACACGTTGAATTGCTTCTACCTTTGTTGTCCCTCTTGGGATTTCGCCAACCAAATTGTTTCGACTAAAATCAAGGAACGTTAGAGACGAACAATTAGAAATTGAAGCTGGAATTTCACCACCCAGGTTGTTGATGCTGATGTTGATCTTCAATAACCATTTCAAATAAAAGATTTCCTTTGGTATTTTCCCATAAAACTTGTTCATCGCCAGGGAGAGAGTTCGTAAGTTGTTAAGATTTCCAATTGCCCGTGGGATTTCCCCGGAAATCTGGTTCCCAGAAAGCGTGAGGATTTCCAGTGAGTCCGCATACATATGTGTTGGAAGTTGACCAGACAAGTAGTTTTGATCCAGCTCAATCATGACCACGTTAGGCAAGTTGAAGATCCCAACAGGAACAGTCCCATTGATTGCGTTTTTCATCATTCGGATTTTGACAAGGGACTTGCACTGGCCTAGTTCCTCCGGAATTGGCCCAAAGAAGT